AGTTGTCGCCTAAAGAGTATAAAGAGGGACTATAGAAAATTAACTGCCGATGGGGAGGGCGGAAGGGGGAGGTTGATGAGAATATTAGAGAGCCTTATGGGGGAATCAGGTAAATTTTATCTGACGCAGCTCAAATCCTCCTCCATGCAACAATTACCTGTCCTTAGCCAACAGTTATTTTTGAGAGTTTTGGTGCATTTTAGATGGAAGTGGGTGAATCTTTCATCGCCTGATGCTGCTTTCCGAACGGACCCAAAGAATTGGAGAACGAAGTCAAGAACTTTGATCCAACTCTCGCTCTCAAGACTATAGTACTAATATGATCAAAGGACATAGGAAACGAACTTTTGACTGCAATTGTCGTTCAAAACAAGACAGACCTAAACTCATGTGATTAAAAGCGCTTTTTCCTTGTTTATAGTGTCAATGCAACGCTGTTGTAAAATTACTTATAAAATGTATTTGCATTTATCAATGCATCTTGCCAAGAAGAACACCTAAGCATTTGCTTGGGATTTTTACCTCTCGCTCACAGTTGCAGTAGCCTCCCCGCGCGGCACACATAAAATGCCAAGAGCCATGGTGGTTGAGGGTGAGTATTTTCTTATTTCAAGCTTTTTCTTATGAGGTTTCGATTAGAGCACGTTAGATCGAAAAAAGGTCCCTGTCTGTTTTCTGTTTTTAAGAACATCCTGGCAGTTTGAGAATTAAGAAACACTGTGAAACTTCCTTCCAATGACCACGAGTGAACTTTTCTAGCGAATGAAATAGTCGACGATTTTGATATATGATTACTAGGAAAGTGTCTCTAAAACCACCACTTTTTTTTTTTATCAAAGGTTTACGTATCATTTAATTACATACATTGTACATTCATTTCAATCTATGATCTACTAATACAGTGCACCAAATTTTCCACATATCACAATCATGCAATAACAACGTAACACAAATCAGGTATGACAATAAATCTATTTCTCTGTGGAAAAATGTCAAGATATGTAACAATATTTCCCCCACCCACTAATACAGACGAATGAAATGCTACAAAATTTTATGACAACTGACATTTTTCCATGCAGGAGACTTGGGTAAAAATTGTGGCCATCCTTCAAAATAAACATTGTACACTGACGTGATACAGAGCAAGCCATTACTTTTTTCAGCTGCGTGCCTCAATTATTTTCAAGAATTTATTTCATTGGCCAGTGTAGAATATATCATGTTGTTACAGAAAGGACTAGCACCGTTGTCTTGCGATAAATCTGTCTTATCCATACTAGATTTCAAGGAGCTACAACTACTGTTTCATGGTGTTCAACAGGCACAGTCCTTTGAGTTAGGTTTGTTGTCATTTGAGAGTCTTATTTGGTCTGGGAAATCATTGTATAATTCAACCTCTGTCTCTTGAGCAAGAGCATTTTTAGCAATGGTCTGGAAAGCTTGCTCCACATTGATGGCTTCTTTGGCGCTGGTCTCAAAGTATGGAATGTCATTCTTTGAGTGGCACCAAGCTTGTGCGCGTTTGGCCATGACCTGAAAAAGTGGTTTTCAAACATTAGAACTTGGTCTTAGTCCAAAATAACAGCCTCTAGTTAACACTTAAAAAGTGACCAAGACAGAATTTCTCCTTACAATATCAATACAATATCAAGCAGGCAGGTGATGAGAATAGAGAAGAATATCAATTATGGGATTATTAGTTGATCCAATACCAAATTCTCTCAGCTAACATCATAAGAATTGTATGGCAGACAGTAAGGAGAATTACTAACTATATCTTGGGAGTGAAAGGGTTAAAAAGCTTTACTATCCTCGTAGCCTTTTTTGTACAATAGAACTTATTAGAATCGTCATAAGTTACATGTAAATCACTTCTGGGAGGTGACTGGTTTAAAGCTTCCTATTCTTCTCTAATCCTGATGTAAGGTTGATGTCCTTCCAAACCTCCCATGCTTAAAAGAATGACCATCAAACCTTTTTCTGAAGAAGTACTGAGTGCTCAATCTTTTACAGTCAAACCTTTATTAAGCAGTCACCCACAGAAATTGTAGAAGTGAGCACTAAATATTAGTTGCCACTTGACAATGGTTCCAAAGAATTGAAGTCTTATAAAAAATGCCATTTTATGCCATAATTGACCACTTAATGTACAAAAACTCCCTCAGAAATATTACAAAAATTGATTTCAGGAGAGAAATGATTTAAATAGTATTCTTAGTTTTATTTGAGAAGTTTCACTTTAAGTTACTATTCAATACAGTTGGAAGACTACAGAAACAGGCCGTTGGGACTCACTCTAAGCTGACCACGACTGCATGACAAAGGTGACTGCTTGATAGATGTGAAAATTAGAGTTTCACTTTAAGTTACTATTCAATACAGTTGGAAGACTACAGAAACAGGCCGATGGGACTCACTCTAAGCTGACCACTACTGCATGACAAAGGTGACTGCTTGATAGATGTGAAAATTAGAGTTTCACTTTAAGTAACTATTCATTACAGTTGGAAGACTACAGAAACAGGCCATTGGGACTCACTCCAAGGCGACCATGACTGCATGACAGAGGTGACTGCTTGATAAATGTGAAAATTACAGCTATAAGGGGAAAAAAATTTGGAACTTTGGCCATTGGCTGCTTAATGTAGGGTGAACACTTTAAACAATTGTCCAAATTGCTAAACCAAACCAACACCATACATATAAATCCCACAAACCGCTCTAATTTTCATTTGTCATTTTCTAATTCAGATAAACATACTCTGTCAAGACTCTCACTCACCACTCTGTTTTCCAGGTCAATTTTGTTTCCTAAGACCACGAAAGGAAAGTTTTCAGGATCACGTGGGCTGGCTTGAATAAGGAACTCATCTCTCCAACTGTCTAGTGTCTTGAATGTTGTAGGTTGAGTCACATCAAAGACCAGGACACAACAGTCTGCACCTCGGTAAAATGCCACTCCCAAGCTTTGAAATCTCTCTTGTCCAGCTGTGTCCCATATCTTGACAGAAAAATAATAAGAATAAAATAGTTTAAGGTACAATCCAGTAAAGTGCTTCGCACATGAGAGGCATAAAGAAAGTTTCAATATCAGAGCCACATCCATTATTCATTACACTGCACATGTATGTAAGCTGAATTATGTATGCCTTTTGATTGGGTCTGACTTACGATCTGAATGAGGACAGATGCATTGATGAAACAAATAGGTTCCATTTCACAATGGAAATGTTGTTCCTACCACATTTTAACATCATCTGTGATCTATTGCTGAACAGGTGCATGGCAACATGGAATCTCTCTGTTAAATTGATTTATGCACCACAAGATAGAGGAGGGGGTTAGGGCAGGGAGGCAAATTCTAACCTGCAACCTTTGCTGCAGATAAGCAAAGATTTCCCACAATTGGGGAATGGACCCCCTACTTCAACACAATGTTCAAAGAACTCTTCAAATGGAATACAAGGGCACAACTAGCAATCTTAGAATCATAGTGGTTAACTGTCAAACTCCCACGCGTGAATAAAACATGCAACTCTTCCTTAAAATATCCATACATTATCTGACAAAAAGGTAATGAGAATACTGAAACTTATCAGCTAGATGTTATCTTGATCTAATACAAAAATTCTTGATCTACCACCAAATTCTTGTTACTAGTTTGTCAGTAAATGTGTGGTAGCTTGACGGGGAAAATTAACTGTCAAATCTTGGGATGTAAAGGCTAAGTCAAATCATTGATTAAACAGTTTTCCATACAGCACAGAAAGTTGCAAGTCAAAGATAAAATGCAAAGGAACTGAATCTTCTCACCTGCATTGTAACTAGCCTGTCATCTACCATGACTTCTTTTGTGAGGAAGTCAGCTCCAATTGTTGCCTTGTATTGATTGCTAAATTTTTTGTTGACATACTGGTTCATAAGTGATGTCTTTCCAACCCTTCAAAGCAAGAACCGCAAGAAAATTAATATTACCATTGCCCTACATCGTCTAAACTATTCCCTTTTCAGGACTTAGCAAACACAGATACAAATGTTCCAAGCCGACGAATCAACTCACTTAAGAAAGAGTTCTTCATGTGCTTAAGTAGACAGACACTACTGATGATCCATTGTGATGGTTATCAAGTTTATTTAACATCTAGGGATTATTCAAAAATATTCACTAAGCCTGAGGCAAGTACATTATTTACTCATGTATAAGTCGCACTTGTGTAAAAGTCA